ACCATGTCTGTCCTTATTGTGAGGGATGATACTTGAGCGTACAGCCGCGCCCTGCTACAGGAGTTTCTCGTTTCACGGGTCAAAAACAGGCGGTTGAAGTTTAGAAGTGCAAACTGACAGTTAGTTCACTGCTGTGGAAACTCCAGAGCTGCTGAGCTGGTTCGAGCTCGTTGCGCACAGTTTTTATTTTTCTGTTAAAGGTCCGATATCCAGAAAAGGCCTTTCTACAATGTTATGAGATATTTATGAACAGAACGAGCTCTGAAAGTCACACTTTTTCTCACACCGCTGTCAACAAGGCTGCTTCACAGCTTTACAAGCCAGTAAAAATACACAGGAGCTCTTCCTGGTTCACAGCAAGCAGCGCATCGTACTGTAGCATGCTGCTAGCACAGATGCTAAACATACAGCTGTGCACAGTCGGCAGCTGTAGGCCCTCTCTCTCTCTCTCTCTCAGTCAGTGTCTGTGCTTCACCTGAGCCATCACACCTCACCACACCTGTCTGCCTGCTTTTCATACTCCAACCCTCATCCCGTCTATCCGGTCCCCTGTCCATTTTCTCACCTTGACTACTTATACTTCACCCTTCAGGTTTTCTACGTCTTCTATGAGGGGTCACCACAGCAGAGCATCTGCCTCCATCTCTACAGTCCTCCTCTGTCACGCCAACCCTCTGCATGTCCTGCTTCACCATTTTTACTAAAAATGCTCCAAACAGGCACCAGAGCACAAACACGGAGTGCACAGGTGTTACCCAGTCTATGCAGATGAGCCTAAATACACTTTCTACCCACCAGAACAAGCTGATTTAAAGGGCCGCTGATCTTTCTGCAGACACCCCAGTGACTTTAAAAGTTTAGTGAAAGAGGCCACGCCCCCAATAATGCTTTAAGCCTGGTTTAAAGAGAAGAGCATCAGGACACAGGTGCACTCACATCTCCAGCCAGCTGTTTGAAAACCCTCCGAAACTGTTTCTCCTCTTCGCTCTCATTGGCCTCAGCGAACTGCAGAGGTCTGCGGGGAGGAGGCTGCACACAGAAGAAGCTTCTGTTAGGTCACACACTCACACACATCCTCCCTCCAACTGTGTTTGGACAGTTTGTGTGTTTGTTTGCACATAAAATCTTCCACTGAGAGGGCGTCGCTTCAGTCACACAGTTCAAGGTTCAAGCGATGCACATAAGCTCAGGGTTATCCACAAAAAATCTTTCTGTTTCTGCTACATTAAATATTAAAACTTGTTCATCGACATTCAGGTGCTGCACACAAGCAGAAATTTGATCTGGGATCTATTTTTCCCGTTTCTCATTGACGCAAATCTACCTGTGCTTTCATTAGAAATGTTGGAGGCTGCATTAGGACAGACTTTACAGAGTACTTACAGGGTCTGACGGCATGAACTGAGACGGGTCGATGTCGCTGTGGGGAAGAAATCACAGGCTCGGTTAGCCTAGCTCAGCATAAACACTCGAGTAGAAACTGATAGAAAAAGTGTGCTCACGTCACAGATTTGATGACGCTCCCGATCACTCCTTTCAACAGAAACATTTTGGCGTCGATCTGAAAAAGACCGAAGACTTGATCGACACTGATACGTGAAATCTGCGGGAGGTTTTTCACCATACTGGCTGTAAATGACCTGAACACCGAGGTCGAGACAGAAACCGCCGACTGCAGACGAACTCACGCAGAAGTTTAACGAACGTTTCAATTAAAGTTAACGTTTTTATACTCTTTGATCAGTATGATGTCATAGATAATAACTATTATAATAATAATATGATAACTATATGATAATATGATTATATACTTCTGATAATAGCCCGTTTTCATATTAATAACATCATCATGGAGAAATAATCATATAAAGAGAACAAACACTGATTCATTAAACTACATGCTTTAAATATTTTCAACTAACTCATCAGGCTCCAAACTGCATTCAGAGGCAGGGCCGTGTCCAGAGAGGGGACACGTGGTGGCACCACCCCTCCTGAAATATGAATATGAACTCAACATGAAACGCTACTGTCAGTCTTACGAATACGACCTGTGCTGGAATCTAACCAAGTGCATGTACTCAAGCATTTTACTGATCTAATATTTTAGTGTACTTCACTCAAGTATTTCTATGTTATTCTACTTTAAAGCTTCTGTTACTTCTTATTTTGCTGACTCTTGCAAAGACACAGTGCTTATTATTATGATACCTGAAGCTGGAGCAGTTCATGAGTAAATGTAGTTTATCCACTGAGCTCATTTTGGCTCTCAGAGATTATTAAAACAACAAACTCAACGATTATTATTCAAATGAAATGATTGTGTCTGGAACAGTTCTCAGGTTCCATTCAGCCCAGCATCCCTCCCACCGCTGGATTCGCTTTATTCAGCTTTCTCAGACGAATTAAACTCACAGCTCATTGATCAAATGTAAAAGACATTTTTCTTCTTTTTAAAGGGAGCTCACAATTTTCCAGTCTGAGTAATCTGACCAAATTAACCGATAATCAAATATGAATGAATCAGTAATTCATGTAGTAACTTTTATGTAGTAGTAACGATTATACTTGTACTTTAAGTGTATTTGGATTCATTCAAACAAGAGTATTAAACATATTAGTAACGCTCACACACACACACACACACACACACACACACACACACACACACACACTTGTCCATTTTGTGCCATGTTTTCTTAAATAAAGCGCAGCGTCAGCGGGGGAGGAGGCTCCGTCGGTACTGAAGGCTCACAGCTCCTGTCTTATCTCACCCTCGGTAATCTTTCCATGCCTCCGTGTTCTGGCCGCGCTGGGTTGTTTTCTCCACTTTAACCTTGTTTTGTAAATTTCCACCGGGTGGGTGGGACAGCATGCACAATTCTGCACTTTTACACAGCTGAGGCAAAGCCCGCACACAGGACACAGAGCAGCTTTGTGGTACTTACAGAAGCTTCAGCTGAGGACAGACGGAGGCAGAGACCGCGGAGCCGGCGACAGAGACGATCACGGACTGCGGGGAACACGGACACGGAGGAACTGCAGGGCGAGCCCACTGACAGCGTTCTTTTTCAATGCGTCATCAACCCCTCCCCAAACACACGCACATATGCACGGACAGGCCGCCAGATCATAGCGCCCTCTAGAGTTCAAATACGTGGTGCGTTCAGGGGCCCACAGGTCAAATGACTCATCACCAACAGAGGAGACCTCACCTCATATTAGCTGTTCTGATGAGTTTCAACGATCAGAGTTTGGAAGCGTGGATTCAGCCTGTCTGTAAACGCACGTCAGGCTGCTGGTGGAGTGATGGTGTGGGGGATATTATCCTGACACACTTTGGGTCCAACTGAGCATCGTCCACAGCTTACCTGAGTGTTGCTGTGGACATGGTCAGCCTTTCCTGCCCGGGGCAGATGAACACGTTAATGTTTTTATATTCGACGTGATGTGAAATGATGTGGGTGGTTTATCATCCTCTGATAACCTGGTAAATGTTGTCTGCGTTTCTTTTGACTCACAGACTTCAGACCTGGAACTTTTCAGATTTCAGGAAAAAGATCATGTTGGACAAGGTGGGACGTAAAAGGAACATTCTAGCCACTGATCCATCAGCTGATTAGTGCCAGAAATATTTCAGATATGTTCCATCTTTCCTGTTTCAGTGGGTGTGTCTGTCAAAGAGCTGGCTGACCTGTTTTACGTCTCCCACCTTTAAACGCCTCCTCTGACAGCTCCAGCCTCTGTGTGGAGCTCAGCTTGTGTCTCAGCTTCGAGAACTGAAGATCACATCATTACTGATGTTACTACAGCTGACATCGTGACAAAGACTTCCTCATAAACACACGTTTACAGAGACATTATTAAAGGCATCACTATCATTATTCACTCTGAAGCAGAGAAGTGTGGATTGGAATAACTTGCACTGAATTATTCTACAGTTCTTTAGATGAATCCTCTGCTGTTTATGTATTTTATAAGGTTTTATGATTTGATTTATTTTTGTTCTTTTCATTTGACTTTAGTTATTAATTTTTAATGCATTTATAATGTAATTATTTTGTATTATTTTACTTTGTGTTTGTATTTTATAAATATTTATTTTATATTATTGTATTGTTGATAGTTGATTGCATTTGTTTTATTTTTTCTAAGTTTGTGGTTTTTAAGGAGGAAGTTTAGCAGAAAATAGCATTTTATTTATTTAATTGTATTTTCTGTTTAATTAATAAATTGATTATGTTTTATCACATTTATTTTCTTCATTTTTATGATTGTGCGTTTAAAACTATGTCTGTATCCTTTGGCGGTGATAACATGAAGTGTAAACCTCGCATAAATGATTTCTTCATGCGGTATAACCGGATGTTTCTCGCCTCTCTAGAGCCGGTGCAGCTCCAGCCTCTTGTCACTGGGAGGCCTGGTTGCCATCAGTTACTGGTTGTTGTTGGTACTGCTGTTCAGGGTGCAGCCGCACCGACAGCTAACGTGTCGTTAATTTGACACATTTTACTGCATCTATTTTTAGTTTCTTTGTATTGTTTGCTCTTAGCTTTCAGCTCCACCTTCTCACAACTTTTTCCACACCAAACTTTGTCTACAAGTTGCTGAGCGCACAGCGAATTATAGAGATCTGATTGGGCAATCCAGTGTCTGTAAGGAAAATGAACCAATCGGCTGTTTAACAAAACGGTAATGAAAGAGCTTTCACTGCCCTCCAGTGGTGAAAGTAAAGAACTGCACGTGTAAGACAGCAACAGCAACAATGCCTGAGGCTGCCCTGTAGTGCTCGTCGCTACCAGTTAGTTGGGATGTTTTACGTTCTCTTGTAGTCATTTCTCTTAATTTCTAACTTTTAATTAATTAATTTTATTACGATTTCATAAATAATGTTCTCGGACAAGTAAAAAAAATATCTCTCCCTGTCCTAAACAACAACGCGTTCTTGAAAAGAAACAATGCAAATGTATTTTTATTTTATTTTATTTAAGTTTATTTTATTACGTCTCCCCTGAAGAGTCATTGCGCTACGTGTACGTCACCCGGAAGCAGGAAGTGTTCAGGAGCTTGTGAGTTGTCGTGGAGGCTTTGCTGCTGTTGTCGGTCTCGTCTTCCTGTTGGCTCAAATGGCGAGCTTCACGGGTCCGGGTCGGACCGGTCCGGGACTCTGGTGCTGGGCTCTGGTCCTGCTGATGCTGGCGGAAGCGAGCTGGCCGGTGGCGGCCGTGTCGGAACCGGGGAAGTGGAACCTGGACATCAATAGCGTGAGTTTCCTGCTCGTACCTCCCGCTGTGATTCTGTGATGGTTCGTTTAGGTTCTGTGATGGACGGGTTGGAGCGGAGAGGAGCTTTAAACAGATAAAACGTGTTTCAGCTGCGAAGCAGCCGCTAAAATGCCGCTCTGTTTGCCCTGCGCCATAATCGTTACGCCGCTAACGGCTAACGTTAGCTAAAGTGAAAGTATTCAAGTGGCGCGTCACTCAACACGAACGATCCTGTGATAACCAGCTGCGCCATGAAGACGTTTGATATCAATAAAATCACCAGTTACTCGCGTATATGTGAAACAGGCCGATACCAGCCGCTCGTCTGATGCTGAAGCCTTGTTTAAAGATTCTGCTGAGAAATCCGTTGGGCATCTTTCTTTACCTTTAGACAATAATTCTGATGGCAAAAGAGCCAAACGGGACAGGCAAAAAAATACTGCTGAGAGGACAGAAGGAGTACTTTGAGAGACTGGAGGACAGTTGGTGAATCAGGAAGAGGATTGGTAAGAAAGGCAGTGACGGCAGCCTTGAAGACTGCAAGTGGACGCTTCAGATGACACACGTGGAGGCCAGCAGGCTTTTTAACCGGACTGTTCAACACAGTCCTGTAGGATGAGAAGATGCCTGAGCAATGCAGAAGCGGTGCTGGTACTTTTCAAGGACAAGCGCGATGTACAGAGCTGCAGTAACTACAGTGGAATACAGCTGATGAGCAAACCAATAAAAAGTGTGGGAAAGAGTCGTGAGCCGGTTAAAGAGAGGTGATAATCAGCGAGCAGCAGTATGGCTTCATGCTGAGAAACAGCTCCACACATGTGATGTTTGAGTCTGTGGAGCCAGAAAAGCAGATGCAGAAGACCTGCATGAGGAGGTGACAGAGAAGTATGAGAGCAGGACATGTCTGAGGAGACGAAGTTTTGTGTGTCTTAAAGGAAACAATATCTGCTGATAGATCCGATTTTTAATCGCTGTGGGTCTGAGATCCTGCATTGGTTGGGCTGTAAGCACAGTCTGTCCACCTGTTACATGCATTAGTCTGCAGAAGACTGTAAAGCTGTGACTGTGCACTGGAAACCCAGACTTACAGTATGCAGGTTAATGATAAACCAGAGTCATCAATGCTGCGGGTTAATATCAAAGCTGATGCACAAAGACAGCACTGTCAGGGCTCGCAAAATCACTAGCCCGACGTCCCGGGGTCCATCCATCCATTCGCTTCTGCTTTTCAGGGTTGCAGCTGTCATAGGGCGAGAGGTGGGGTACACCCTGGACAGGTCGCCAGTCTGTCGCAGGGCCAACACACAGCGACAGACAACCATTCACACCTAGTGACAATTTGGATTATCCAATGAACCTATCCCCACAAGCTGCATGTCTTTGGACGGTGGGAGGAAGCCGGAGTACCCGGAGGGAACCCACGCAAACACGGGGAGAACATGCAAACTCCACACAGAAAGACCCCGGCCTGATGGAGGAATTGAACTCAGGACCTTCTTGCTGTGCGGCAACAGTGCTAACCACCGTGCCACGTCCCAGGGTATCATAGGAAAATATATGTCAATGCTTTTGCATTCTTTGGAAAATGTATCTGAGTAATTATGTCATTGGCATCGGTGAGCCACTGTCAATATGCGACATATTGAAATCGCGTTTGAATTTGCGCTTGTTTTTTTACTTTCACTTTGCGATCGCGCGAACGGCGTGTAGAGAGCGACAGCACTGATTGGTGACGATTAATTGCGCACCAATTCCTCTGACATCGCCTTATCAATCGTTAGCTTACTACGCAAACATGACAAGTGAAATCTCCCGCAGCTTAAACATGTGAGAGGTTGATCGCGCAGAGAATCGCTGAGCGTTATGTGAGTGCGTGTGCAAAAGCAGCAGGATTCAAGCCGGTATTTTAGTTCTGCTCAGCCAAATAAGACAGGTCAGGGTGAAGAGGGGGCAGCCAAAGAAAAGCTTACCACAAAATGGAAAAGTTATGACAAATCAGACTATGAGGCAAAATGGACAAAAGAATTTCTGTGGCTGGAACATGACGAGCTAAATAACATGATGTTCTGCAGGTGTGTTGTGAGTCGACAAGCGCCTTTGTTACTGGGACCAGTAATTTTAAGAAAGACCCCATTAGAACCCATGACAAATGCAAGAAATGCATTATTGCCCAGTCTGCAGTATCTTTCCCAGAACGAACAGCAATTGCAAAAAATATTCTAAAAATGAACCGAGCACAAGAGGAAGTCCTGACAAAGCTGTTTAGAGCCGCGTGCTGTGTAGCAGAGTGACCTACCACTGGCCAGATTTAGCAAACTTCAAAAAGCAAATGTCCTAGATGTTGGTTCCACTTGCCTCTTACCAGTGACTCCAGTGGAAATGTCAGATTCATGTCCTACGCAGTTCTTACAAGTTCATAGAAATTTCTGTTCAATCAGAACCAAGTATTTGAGTTGATGTTTGTCATTTTTATACAGTTGTTGTGATTTATATTGTAACAATTTTTTGATTATCTTTTGTTTCTGTTACAATATTATACTTTAATGTATAATGTTGTAACGGAAACAAAACGGGAAACAAAACATAAAAAAATGCTCTTTTTTTATTCGGGCTACTTGAATTTATTTTTACCAAAAACTGCAGAGTGCCGGCCCGAAGGGCTGCCAGGGATTTAGAAATTTTGCGAGCCTTGACACTGTACCACTGTTTTTAATCTGCACAACCAGCAGTGGTGTGGAATTAAATACACAAAGTTCCTGAACACTGTAAGCCACCTTTCCAAAAACAGGAACATGAACCACTGATGTTGTTATCAACTGCCAAAGCGAAGGCCTCAGATCATCGGTTTACACAGAGTAACACGATAACAGGCATCTCCCAGCTCAGGGGCTGAAATTTGTATTTCCTTTAATGCTTCACACACGGGGCTGCAAATGAGTGTTTTTAGGAGTATAGTGAAATAGTTTTATCACAGTCCTGGTGATTTTCCTTTGGTGGAACTTGTATGCAGAAAAACCCTGAATTTATCGACTTTCAGGAGGGACCACGGCTGGATGGAGGGCACTGTGTTTGTGTGGGCAGCTGGAAATATCGGACTGGGACCGCATACAAACAATAAGCCTGCAGGTTACAGGCTTTAGTCTCCCAGGAGATGAGCAAAGATCATAATTAATCAACACATTTTACAAGTCATGTAAAAACAAAGCCCACCTTGTGTTAGAGGTTTTTCACATCAGAACAGAATGAAACAGATATCTGGTCCTGACCAAGTGATCAAAGTGTTTAAAAGCCACAGAATATAAAAATGCATGAATGATTGCTGGTCAGGGTCTCTACAGGTTAGTATT